TCAAGTTCCAGTATCGATTAGCCACATTCTGTTAGACTGCCCTCTCTATCGACGAGCACGCAGAATTTACCTCCAACGTCGTCTTCGTTCTACTACTCTCTCTTTACCTTCCCTTCTTGCTGATGGACCCTCCTTTAATCCTGACTCTCTCATTGACTTCTTGACAACGACTGATTTACTCCACAAACTCTGATGATACTTTTCGCACTCCCCTCAGCCCTTTCTAGTTCAGTCTTTTGCTGCCTTTTACCCTTTCACCATCCACTACCCCGCTGTTATCCGTAACCTATTACTCATCCATCTCCCTTTTGCCACCTGATGCCCTCGCTTCCTTCCTGCCCTGCAGCGCTGTATAGTCCTTGTGGCTTAGCGCTTCTTTTTGATTATAATAATAATAATGTGTGTCTCTAAATACCACACTAAACGTCTATTTACTAGGCGTTCCATCACTTTGCAAACTGCACTGGTAAGAGCAATGGGATGATAGTGGGAGGTTTCATGTCCCGTAGTGCCTGCTTTGCGGAAAGGGAGAACAATGGCAGATTTTCACAGCTGTGGAAGAACTCCTTGTGACCAAATAAGATTGTAAAGGCGTAATAGGACTGCAAGGGCTGACTGATGTAAATGTTGTAGCATACGAATATGAATGTCGTCGGGCCCAGCTGCCGATGATTGGCAAGCTGAGAGTGTTACCTCCAGTTCTTGAAGTGTAAAAGGCACATTATACTGTTTTTCTCTGAGAGAAGAAAAGTCCAAGGGTGCTAACTCTCTGGCAGACTTTGAGGAAAGAAATGAGGGGCATAGATGGAGTCCCTGAGAAATACGGACCAGATGATTGCCAATTTCATTGGCAACATCTAGTGGGTTTGCTATATCAACACCGGCAACCCGCAGAACAGGAGCCGGGTCAGGAGAATATTTACCACTCAGTTTTCGTACTTTTTTCCAGACTGCACTCATAGAGGAAGCAGAGGTGATGGTGGACACACAATCTCGCCAGCAAGTGTGTTTAGCATCACGGATGACACGGCGAGTGATCGCACGCTTCTGCTTAAAATCAAGAAGTCTCTCTGTGGTTCTATTGTACCGGTACCTGCCCCATGCAGCGCATTTCAAACATACTGCACGAGCACAAGCAGGAGACCACCAAGGCACGCATTTCTGAGAATGCCTTCCCGAAGTTTGGGGTATAGAATGAGAAGCTGCGGTTAAAACGGAGGATGAGAAGAGGTGTAAAAGCTCATCGATGGAGGACGAAGAAGGAACCTCTCTAAAAACAGTTAGGTGTGAGTAAAGGTTCCAATTTGCTTGATCAAATTGCCAGCGTGGGATGCGAAGAGGTGGTGAATATGAAGGGGAAGTAAGAATGATTGGGAAATGATCGCTGTCATGTAAGTCCGGAAGAACAGACCAAGTGAAGTCTAATGCGGCGGAGGAAGAGCAGACTGAGAGATCGATGCAAGAGAGAGTGTGAGTCCGAGGATCAAAATGGGTGTGAGTACCTGTATTTAAAATATGGAGGGGGTGGGTGGCAAGAAAAGCCTCTAACTGAATGCCACGGGAATCACAGTGAGACCCCCCCCCCCCAGAGGAAATGGTGGGCATTAATATCACCAAGTAACAGAATCGGTGGTGGTAATGACGAAACAAGAAAGGCAATATCCGGAATAGATAATTTGCCCGAGAAGGAGAGAGATATAAAGAACAGAGCGTATACCACCTATGCAAGTGGATACGGGCTGCTGTGTAATGCAGCGAAGTACGAACAAATAGCTGATGGTACGGAATATCAGTGCGTAGAGGAAGGGCACTTTCATTAAAGGTCCCATCAGGAAAAGGATCTGAAGAATACAATAAATTATAGCCTGAGATGGGAGAGATAACAGCAGAGTGTAATTCTGGTTCCTGTAAGCAAACACCAACAGGGGAAAACTGGGAGAGTAACATCTGAAGCTCACCCCGATTACCCCTGAGGCCGCTATATTCCACTGTAAATAGGCCATGATTGGCAATGATAAAAGATACCTGAAATCCGCAGGTAAGGGTTCCTATGGACTAGAGGGGTTAAAAAAGTCCTAATGCGGAGGCAGTGGAAAACGTTCAAGCAGCGAAGGAACGGTGCGCTGTGAAGAAAGGAGTTGCGCAGATGGAGTAGAGGAGAGAGAAGGAGTGGAGGGTGGATCAGTGTCCATTGATGGTTTGGTCTCAGCAATATATTCAGAGATTGCTTCAAGTGTTTCAGAATTCAGAGACGTCGTATGGGAGACAATATTGGAAATGGTAGGGAGAGGATGAGTAAAGATTGGAACTGTAATGGACTGTACCAAGGTAGGGGGGGGCCAAAAGGGTGGAGGGAACTGGAGAAGCATGGAAGGGGACAGAAGAGGCAGAAACCTGGGAGGTGGCAGAAGAGGAAGAAACTTGGGAGGGAACAGGGGAGGAAGGTACAGTACGAGGAGGAGGGTGAACATCTACACTTGTAACAGAGCCAGTGAGAGGGGGAGAACCAGGTACAGAGACAGGGAAGGGAAAATGAGGAGGTGGAAGATGGGTAGGAGGTGTTAACGGACCTTTTTTTGACTTTTGAGAAGTAAAGGGACGATTGGAAGGAGGTGTCATACGAGATCTCGTCGCTACTGAGGCTTGTGAGAGAGAACATGAAGAAGCGAGATCAGACTGAGACGTTGAAGTAGGGACATCTGAGCCGAGGACAGCAAAAGAATTAGCTACAGGAGTGACTATGGGAGAGGTAACCACAGAGGTGGGTGAAGAAGATGGGATACCAGAAGTGGGGGGACGTTTTGAAACACGGGAATAAGAAATACGAGGTAGTCTCCCTTGGAGGCGGAGATGAGAAACTGTCATGGCATAAGGGAGACCTTCTGCCTCTTTGAGGTAACGGATTTCCCGCTCGTTTAAGTAGACTTGACAACGGCGAGTGTACGAAGGGTGAGCCTCATGACAATTAAGGCAAGAGGGAGGTCGATTGCAAGACGTATTAGAATGGTCATCGGCACCACAGACTGGGCATTCGGCGATAGATCTGCAATATTTCGCTGGATGGCCAAATCGCCAGCAATTTCTACACTGTTGCGGTGTAGGGATCACCTTTCGAACTTGTAACCAATGTCCTGCTACATAAACTGAGGATGGGAGTTCACGGCTGTCAAAGTTAAACGAGCCACATTGCTAGGGTACTTCTCCGCCCCGGGCAGGAAGAACGTAAGTGTCTACCTTGAGGATTGGGAGATCTTGGAGTTCAGCTGTTCAAGAATGTCAGTGCCACATGTCTGGAAATTTTGTTGAACTATGGTATGGGCAGAATGACGGTACCACTACAAGAATTGAGGGAATGATGCTTTTCAATAGTGACAGGAACAGTATCGATATGGGAAAGACGAGAAAGCTCATGAGCCTGGGTAGCATTCTGTACGGTGATGATGTGCGTACCGCTCTTAAGAGCATGAAAAGAAATATCTTTACCAACATGGCGTAGGAGTGCCTTGCCAATACTGTGGTCAGAAAGATAGGCAGTAGAGGAAGTCGGTCGTAAAGTGAAGAATTTAGTCCATTGTGCAGTCTGAAACTGAGCGAGGAAAGGTAGTGAAGGACGTGTCGATCTTTTCTGAGAAGAACGAGAAGGTGGAGAAGTATCATCAGCAGGTAATTGCCGTTGGCGTTTAGGCATGGGACCAGAGTTGGTCCGACGTGGAACGGGCCGGCGATTCAAAAATTGCCGCACCGTAGAGGGAGAGGCCGGAAGCATAGTCAGAGGAGAGCGAAGGTCAGATAAATCGAAGGAGTCAGTCGAGGCCTCAGTACCTGAAGCGGGTGAGGAAACAGCACCGGCAAGAGGTACAGAGGCATGAGGAGTGTCCGAAGAGTGGTCCAAAGATGAGGCGGGGTCAGAACGGGGTGCAGTATCAAGAAGGGGCCCGGGGGTAGCAGGTTCATGGACTAGGGCTGCCATGGTTAGGTTACTTCTTTCTTTTTGTTTTTAAGAAAAAAAAAGAAAGAAGAAAAGAAAATAAAAATAAAAAAAAATAAAAAAAGGGAGGACCGGGGAGGGATAGTTCCTAGGAGGAATGAAAGGGCCAGAAATCTCCCTCCGCGCCCAAGAAGACCTCAGCACCGCAAGTAGTGCAGATGCAGCATGGAACCCGTGCCATACCCTACCCATCATGCCAGTAAACCAGCAATCTGGGATAGCAACCTCACATCTGCCGAGCTACCTCGGTGGACAAAAGAGAGGGCGGCCGGAAATCTGCCACAAAGCATACCTCCTTCGGCCACCACCCCCGGAATCCGAAAGGTGGCTTCCAGAGATACACCCGTCGCCCGAGAGACACCCAAAGCCACTCTCCGGGATACTGTAGAGGGATCGGGACATCCCCAGGCAATCCAGATTCCACGGCAAACTACGCCACCGCCAAGAACCTAAACGGAATGGGATGGACCCGGTACCCTTTCCCCTACCTAGGAACTAGAGTGCCTGTGGGAAAAAAAAAAAAAAAAAAAGGAAGGGGTGGGGAGGAGGAGGAGGAAAGGAAAAAGGGGAGGATGGGATAGGGAACGGGGGATTGGGAGGTAATTAGGTTCAGTCTGAGGAAGGAGACCGACAGGTCTAATTCCTCAGACCAAGAGCCTCTTCACCACGCCAAGGAGCCCCCCTTGAAGAGGTCCTGGGAACATGATGAATTGAATAGAGGAAATGTTTTAGTGCCAGTAATGTTTACCTTGTTAATGTTGCACTCTATTTTTAAATTGGTAATATTTTAACCATAAAATTGGTCATATTACCAACTTCTGTGCACTTCATGGGGTAGTTGTAATAGTTAAATGGGCAGTTTCTTGTGCTCAATAAGTAGAACAGAAGGCATACTAGTGAAATAGCTAAAAAATCTAGTCAAATGGAGCAATGGAATTGACTTACAAGAGGACTCAAAGTCAGCAACATTGCCAATGCATAAACTTGTGGTGTTGCTAACTCTGAGCCTGAGTAATTTCATCACATTTCATAATTTTGGTGTCATTACCTTGAGAAAAAGATTCTCTACCATTTCAAAAGATTTTTTTTTTTTTTCAAGTGGACACTAGGAGCAATATTAATTTTCAGAGTCTGGACAGTGGAAGGGTTAATCCACCACTGAAATATACTACAAATCCCATTTGTGTGTTGACATATTGAGGCTCACTTGTTATTACACATAGCTACAATCTCAACTGGCATTGCATATAGCTATTGCAAAAATAAGTAACTATGTCAATGACTAGAGTGAAGAACTGATCATATTAGAGCAACAGGGAAAAAACTATAGCAATCAAACAATCCAACTGATGGGAAGGCAAGTTCAGCATTGTTTGCATGGTTTCAAACAATGATTAAAAAACAAAATGAATAACAGGTCAAGAATGTTCTGTACATATTATATTGCATTTTTTTTTACTGTAGTTTAATGTCACCTCAGGGATTAAAGGGCTCTTGATTAAATGAATTGGAGCTGTCCTTCCCTTCCTTGGATCAACCCTGATTGCCTCTCATTCCTATAGCATATGATCCCTAAGGCTTTAGAACTTTACCATAAATATAATAGTAGGATAAAGTCTTCAAACTTTCATTTTATGGACACTGTCATACAAATATCCACAAAACTGTTCAACTTATTATTAACCAGTAGCACATTTTTCAATATTTTATGCAAGATATTGCAGTTACTCATAATTCATAAATAATTTTATTGTGTAGACATGTAAATAGGTCAAGTCAATTTCTTAACACTCTAAAATGTTATGATCATAAAACACTTAATAAATAAAAACTGCTACAGTGTAATGTGAATTTTACACACTTTTAAACATATACATTACAGCAATACCTTGCATAGCACAGGTTTTGATATAATCCAGTTCATAAATTTAATAATATAAATTTTATTTAACTGTATTAGACACCGATACTGGACTGCTGCTATGTACCAGGCTAGTATGATGCAAACATCAGTATCACTCCAGACTCTGAGTAGTGAAGTCTTATACAGTACATACGTATATAAAAAAATTCTTCATTATATAAAGTACTGGTACCCCTTTTATATGCAAATATGAGTGGAAAGAGGAAATGAAATGATACTGAGTGTACTAGAAGATGTAAATAGTTAACATTAGATGAAAAACTAGAATTTATAAAACATGAAGATGATGCATCATATGCTAAAATACCAGGTGACAAGAAAATGAATGAAGCATCGGTATGTGCGCACATTAGGAATAAAGATAAAATTAAAAGAATGACACAGTAGAATGACATGGAAAGCATATAAATCTATAGGGGAAGGAAGGCGAGGTAGGGGTCGTCCTCGAAAGGGTTGGAGAGAGGGGGTAAAGGAGGTTTTGTGGGCGAGGGGCTTGGACTTCCAGCAAGCGTGCATGAGCGTGTTAGATAGGAGTGAATGGAGACAAGTGGTACTTGGGACCTGACGATCTGTTGGAGTGTGAGCAGGGTAATATTTAGTGAAAGGATTCAGGGAAACCGGTTAATTTCATATAGTCGGACTTGAGTCCTGGAAATGGGAAGTACAATGCCTGCACTTTAAAGGAGGGCTTGGGATATTGGCAGTTTGGAGGGATATGTTGTGTATCTTTATACGTATATGCTTCTAAACTGTTGTATTCTGAGCACCTCTGCAAAAACAGTGATAATGTGTGAGTGTGGTGAAAGTGTTGAATGATGATGAAAGCATTTTCTTTTTGGGGATTTTCTTTCTTTTTTTGGGTCACCCTGCCTCGGTGGGAGATGGCCGACTTGTTGAAAAAAAAAATAAATAAAAGACGTGGAATGGCTACAGCATCTGTATGTCAAGAATGATTGTTAATGTTCGTAGTTCTGAAGTGGATAATTTGGAACGTCTTTTAACGTTATGGATTGAAGACTGCAGCCAGAAAAGAATTCCTTTAATTCAGATGACGATTCAAGATAATGCACCAAGTCTCTATTCAATGTTAAAAAAAGAAAATGGCAATGGAGAAAGCTTTTTGGCAAGGTGTGGTTCGTTTTACAACTTTTAAAAAGCATATGAGGAGTGATTGGTGGAATGATGAGGTAAAGGGTGAGATAAAAGAGAAAAAGGTTGCTAATAAGTTTTTACAAAGAAGTGATATAAGAAGGGTGGAGTATATGGAGAGTAAAAGAGAAGTGAAGAGAGTAGTAAGGGAGTACAAAAGGAGAGCAAATGATAGAGTGGGTGAAAATAAGAACAAAATTTGGAGTGAGATAAATAGGTTAAAAAAGCCTAGGGAACAAATGGATTTGAGTTAAAAAACAGAATAGGGGAGTGAGTAGATGGGGACCTGGAGGTATTGGGAAGATGGTGGGAATATTTTGAGGAGCTTAAATGTCGATGAAGAGAGAGAGGCAGTAATTTCGTGCATTGGTCAGGAAGGTCCAATATCTTTTAGGAGTGAAAAGCTGGATGGCACTGGGTAGACTGAAAGGGGGTAAAGCAGCTGGAACTGATGGGATCGTGACAGAAATATTAAAAGCAAGTGGGGATATAGTTTTGGAGTGGTTGGTACTTTTGTTCAATAAATGTATGAAAGAGGGGAAGGTACCTAGGTATTGGTGGAGTGTGTATGTCCTTTATACAAAAGGAAGGGGGACAAAGGAGAATGTAAAAATTACAGGGGAATAAGTTTACTGAGTAAACCTGGTAAAGTGTATGGTAAGAGTTATTACTGAAAGAATTAGAGGAAAGACAGAGCAGGATTGCAGATGAACAAGGAGGCTTTAGAATGGGTAAGGGATGTGAGACCAAGTGTTTACATTGAAGCATATAAGTGAACAATATTTAGACCAAGGTAGGGAAGTTTTTATTGCATTTATGGATTCAGAAAAGGCATATGATAGGGTGGATAGGGGTGCAATGTGGCAGATGTTGCAAGTGTATGGAATTAGTAGTAATTTAATAAATGCTGTAAAGAGTTTTTATGAGGATAGGCTCAGGTCAGGAAAGAGAGATTACTATCCAGTAAAAGTAGGTCTTGGACAGGGATGTGTAATGTCACTATGGTTGTTTAACATATTTATAGATTTAATTGTAAAAGAAGTATATGCTAGGGTGCAGGCGAGAGGGGTGGGATTCAACTATGGGGAATCAAATACAAAATGGGAATTGACGTGGTTACTTTTTGCTGATGACACTGTGCTTATGGAAGATTTTAAAAGAAAAGCTGCAAAGGTTAGTGGACGAGTTTGGGAGGGTGTGTAAAGGTAGAAAGTTGAAAGTGAACATAGATAAAAGGTGATGAGGGTATCAAACAATTTAGATAAAGAAAAACTGTATATCACATTGGAGAGAGGGAGTATGGAAGAAGTGAATGTTTTCAGATATTTGGGAGTTGACTTGTCAGTGGATGGGTTTTTGAAGGATGAGGTTAACCACAGACTTGATGACGGAAAAATGGTGAGCGGTGCACTGAGGTATCTGTGGAGATAAAAAAATGTTATCCATGAAGGCAAAGTACAGTGGTGCCAACACTCTTATGTGGGTGTGAAGCTTGAGTTGCAAATGCTGCAGCAAGGAGGTGGATGAAGGCAGTGGAGATGTCCTGTCTAAGGGCAATATGTGGTCTAAATATTATGCAGAGAATTTGGAGTGTGGAAATTAGGTGTGGAGTTACTAAAAGTATTAGTCAGAGGGCTGAAGAGGGGTTGTTGAGGTGGTTTGGTCATTTAGAGAGAATGGATCAAAGTAGAACGACTTAGAGAGCATATAAATCTGTAGGGGAAGGAATGCGGGGTAGGGGTCGTCCTCAAAAAGGTTGGAGGGAGGAGGTAAAGGTGGCTTTGTGGGCGAGGGGCTTGGACTTCAAGCAAGTGTGCGTGAGTGTGTTAGATAGGAGTGAATGGAGACGAATGGTTTTTGGGACCTGACGAGCTGTTGGAGTGTGAGCAGGGTAATATTTTGTGAAGGGATTCAGGGAAACCGGTTAGCCGGACTTGAGTCCTGGAAATGGGAAGTACAATGTATGCACTTTAAAGGAGGGGTTTGGGATATTGGCAGTTTCGAGGGACTTCTGAACTGCCATATCTGAGTGCCTCTGCAAAGACAGTGATTATGTATGAGTGAGGTGAAAGTGTTGAATGATGAAAGTATTTTCTTTTTTGGGGATTTTCTTTCTTTTTGGGTCATCCTGCCTCGGTGGGAGATGACCGACATGTTGAAAAAAAAATATACATGTATATATCAACACTCCTCTGAAGCAAGATTTCTCTTACATATTAATTAGAATAAATAAATAACATTTGTTCAAAATCAGAAATAAATTTATATTAATGAAAATAACTCTAGTATACATGTACTAGTTGTCAGAGTTGAAGCATCAGCTGGGCTTTCCTCCTTTCTGCAGTACAGTCAATAACTGCGTGTGAAGAGCAGCTGCTGCCTTTCTCCTCGTGGGTAGGGCATGAGTGTAGGCATTTGTGCCAGAGGGATGGCCTGCACAGTCTTCAACCAAGGATAACAGTAATGGATACTCCTCGAATACCCAGGAGGGAGGTGAGTGCAAGAGACCTTCAGGGAGATCTTGTGAAAATGCACTTGATGAAAGTATACCCTGAATAAAATGGCAGAGAAAAAGGCATTGTACATTTTGATTATTATATTTGCAAGATATGAATATGGCATAATAATTCAACAAGCATCTGCTTTCAGTTTTTTTGCTTTTAACATAATTAGCAGTCTTGCCGATAGATTAAAACAGTACTGTAAGCTAAAGAATGAGCCACTAAAAGTGGAGTGGATGCTAATTTGCAATGCATCAGGTAAGAGGTGATGGTGCAGTGTGTCCCTAAGCATAGAGAAAATGTTATAATTAATCAAGAGATTTGGTGTGTGGAAATTAGGCCTGGAGTACTAAAGTATGTCAGAGGGCTAAGCAGGGGTTTTGAGGTCGTTTGGTCATTTAGAGAGAATGATCAAAGTAGAACGACTTAGAGAGCAATAAATCGCTATAGGGGAAGGAATGCGGGGTATGGGTCCGTCCATAAAAAGGTTGGAGGGAGGAGGTAAAAGGTGCTTTGTGCGAGGGCTTGGACTTCAAGCAAGTGTGTGATGTGTTAATAGGAGTAATGGGAGAATGGTTTTTGGACCTGACGAGCTGTTGAAGTGGAGCAGGGTAATATTTTAGTGAGGATTCAGCGGAAACCGGAAAGCGACTGAGTCCTGAAAGGGAAAGATACAATGTTTAATTAAAGGTGAGGGTTTGGGATTGGCAGTTCGAGGGGACTTTGAACTGCATTCTGAGTGCTCTGCAAAGACAGTGATTATGTATGAGTGAGGTGAAAGTGTTGAATGATGAAAGTATTTTCTTTTCTGGGGTTTTCCTTCTTCTTTGTCATCTGCCTCGGTGGGAGAGACCGCATGTTGAAAAAAAATATACATGTATATGTCAACATCCTCTGTAAGCAAGATTTCCTCTTACATATTAATTTAGAATAAAGTCAATAACATTTGTTCAAAATCGAATAAATTTAGTATTAATGAAATAACTCTTGTATACATGTACTGTTGTCAGAGTTGAAGCATCAGTAGGGCTTTCCCTTTCTGCAGTACAGCAATTTCAATGCTTTGAAGAGGCAGCTGCCTTTCTCACTCGTGGGTAGGGCATGAGTGTAGGCATTTGCCAAGGATGGCCTGCAACAAGTCTTCATCAAGGATAACATAATAATCTCGAACTACCCAGGGGGAGTGAGTGCAAGAACCTTTCAGGAGATCTTGTGAATGCACTTGATGAAGTTACCCGAATAAAATGGCAGAGAAAAAGGCATTGATACATTTCGATTATTATATTTGCAAGATATGAATCATGGCATAATAATTCAACAAGCATCTGCTTTCAGTTTTGCTTTAACATAATTCAGCAGTCTTGGTCGATCTGCACTTGAACAAGTACGTAATCTAAGAAAAATGTGCACAAATGAGAGGGCATGCAAATGTGATCATTCAGTGTGATAAAAAATCTGTGCATCTCTACCGAGGCAATGAATAATCAATAATTTATAATAATCATAGGTAGTAGGTTGGTAGACAGCAACCGCCCAGGAAGGTACTACCATCCTGCCAAGTGAGTGTAAAACAAAAGCCTGTAATTGTTTTACATGATGGTAGGATTGCTGGTGTCCTTTTTTCTGTCTCATGAACATGCAAGATTTCAGGTACGTCTTCCCCTCAAGGAAGGTTCCTTGATGTTGGTGAGGGGCTCTTGATTTAGGGAATTGGATCTGTGCTCCAGTTCCCCAAATTAAGCCTGAATGCCTTCCACATCCCCCCCCCCAGGCGCTGTATAATCCTCCGGGTTTAGCGCTTCCCCTTTGATTATAATAATAATCAGGTACGTCTTGCTACTTCCACTTACACTTAGGTCACACTACACATACATGTACAAGCATATATATACACACACCCCTCTGGGTTTTCTGCTATTTTCTTTCTAGTTCTTGTTCTTCTTTATTTCCTCTTATCTCCATAGGGAAGTGGAACAGAATTCTTCCTCCGTAAGCCATGTGTGTTGTAAGAAGTGACTAAAATGCCGGGAGCAAGGGGCTAGTAACCCCTTCTCCTGTATATATTACTAAATGTAAAAGGAGAAGCTTTCGTTTTTCCTTTTGGGCCACCTCGCCTCAGTGGGATATGGCCAGTGTGTTGAAAGAAAGAAGATTAATAATAATATTTTAGTTTAGCATGATACATGTTTGTACAAAGGAATATAATACTGTACAGTGGTACCCAGGGTTTCAGCCATAATTCATTCCAGAAGGCTGTTCGAGTGCCGTTATCAAACGAATTTGTTCCTATAAGGAATAATGTAAATTAGATTAGTCCGTTTCAGATCACCAAAGCTACACTTACAAAAGCACTTAAAATAATGCACTTATATAACTGTTTGAGTTGGGAGCTGTACGAAACTCAGGGTACCACTGTACTTGGGTGTACATGCCAAAAGCCCCTTTATATGCAAAGCATTTTGGGCAAACTTAAAACTAACTTAAAATTAATAAGGCAATAACAGTACACATGGTCATTGTGCGAGTTACAATGAATACAAGAGAACTGAATACAGCCTCTCCTCACTTAACGACATACTCGTTTACTGATGACTCAGACTTACGACGGGCTCTCTGACCTGTATGCATACCTAAATAATGTATATAAGAGCTGATTTCCTCTATTCTGTTTATTACAATATATATACAGTACACTACTGTATAAACATTTAAATATATATTAACAATGTTATAAATGGTGCAAAGGTGACATTAAAGCAATATCAAAGATGGTTGACATACACCCACTACCATTATAGTATGCTCCTCTTTTAGCGATGAATTCATTCATCGATGCGGTACTAGGAATGGAACTCCGTTGTTAAGTGAGGAGAGGATGTATGTATTCTATTAGATTATGCTATATGGCTTTAATAAGTTTTGTAGGGAAGAATTACAATTTTGATTATGTATTAACCTTAGGTGGACACAATGGAGTGATTAACATTTGAAGTGAATACAGATATTGAGAGTAAGTACATATTGACTATAAAGTTTTACCTATATTCATGATATTGAGCAAATGAATGTACAGTGGACCCCTCAACTAACGGCGGCATCGTCTAACGCCAAAATCAACTAACGGCTCTCTTTGGCGTCAAAATATTGGCTCTACCAATGCCGAAAGACTCTTCTAAAGGCTTTCGTCCTGAGTGAGTCCAGCCACTCCAAGACTCCATGTATAGCCAGTGTCCCACTGTTTACAAGCCGTTGTGGTTGATTCCATGCATACATGTGATATATTTTGTATTATGCCATTGTTTTTAGTGCTTGTAACTGCTAAATAAGCCACCATGGGCCCAAAGAAAGTTTCTAGTGCCAGCCCTGTGATAAAGAAGGAAAAAAACAAAAAATTCAAGAAAAAACTTGTAGCAAAGTACCAAAGTGGAGGAGGAAGAGAGAGGGGACAATGTGCCTTCTGCAGTGATTCAGTGATTCTACAATATGTACGATACTAAAGCAGCAGGTATCAATAAAGGCTATAGTGCCAGCCAGCGATAAAGTGTAGAATTAACAGTGTAGCAGGTAAGTTAAGTGAGTAAGTGATAGAAAAATGACATGAAAGTAACTCTCCAATGTTGTTGGATGTGTGTATATCCGCTGAACATATGCCGGCCTGCTATCTTCCACTACCCTAAACCTCTGCCAGCATCTCCTCCATCAAACTAACTAATTAACACCTCCTGCGAGGTAAGTGTAAATATAAAAGTGTAAACACAAAAGTAAATACAGTGGTCCCTCAATAATTGTCCGGCCTGAAAGTCGTCCATTTCGGAAATAGTCACGTTATTTCGTCTAAACATTGGCTCGCAAATGGTCCGTTAACTTGCTAATCGTCTTTCGTCCTGGATGCGTACTCATGGCTCTGAGCACCTCGGCCTCCCTTCCCAGCCAGTGTGCCATTGTTTACCAGTGAGCGACGGTCTCCTCACGTGTTCATACGAAATATTTCGTAATATTCCATTCCAAAGAAAGCTCCTAGTGCCAAGCCTTTGGTAAAGAAGGTGAGAAATACGACTGAATTTAAGAAAAACATCACTGAACAATATGAAAGTGGCATACGTGTGGGCGAACTGGCCAGGATGTATAACAAATCCCGTACAACCATATCTTCCATCATAGCCAAGAAAAAGGAAATCAAAGAAGCTGTTGTTGCAAAGGGGGTAAATATGCTGACAAAAATGAGATCACCAGTACTCGAAGATGTTGAGAAGTTATTATTGGTGTGGATAAACGAGAAACAATTAGCAGGAGATAGTCTTATGATGTCAATTTTTTTTTAAAAGGCTAGGCAGTTGCATGACGATTTGGTAAAGAAATTGCCTGCAACTAGTGGTGAGGTGAGTGAATTTAAGGCCAGCAAAGGCTGGTTTGAGAGATTTAAGAAGCGTACTGGCATACACAGTGTGATAAGGCATGGTGAGGCTGCCAGTTCGGACCAAAAAGCAGCTGAAAAATATGTGCAGGAATTCAAGGAGTACATAAACAGTGAAGGACTGAAACCTGAACAAGTGTTCAATTGTGACGAAACAGGCCTCTTTTGGAAGAAAATGCCAAAGAGGACCTACATTACTCAGGAAGAAAAGGCACTGCCAGGACACAAGCCTATGAAAGACAGGCTGACACTCATGCTGTGCTAATGCTAGTGGGGATTTCAAAGTGAAGCCGTTACTAGTGTACCATTCTGAAAATCCCAGTGTGTTCAAGAAAAACAATGTTATGAAGAGTAAATTGTGTGTGTTTTGGAGATCTAATAATAAGGCATGGGTCATGAGGGAAATTTTCGTCGAGTGGTTCAATAAAGTGTTTGGCCCTAGTGTGAAGAATTACCTCCTGGAAAAGAAATTGGATCTCTAAGTGCCTCCTAGTAATGGACAATGCACCTGCTCATCCTCCAAACTTGGATGACCTAATTCTGAAGGAGTTTGGGTTCATCACAGTAAAGTTCTTGCCCCTGAATACCACTCCTCTCCTCCAGCCCATAGACCAGCAGGTCATTTCAAACTTTAAA